CTCCTTCACGCAGATTCTCACATTTTTCAAAAAAATAATAAAAACCAAAAATTTACAGGACACCACAACTATATCTTACGACAAGTGTGGATATATAATTATGCTGTTGGTTTTATAATCTGAAAATAAAACGTCTAATTATTGGAATTCTTTGATTTATTATTGTTGAAATGTCTAATTTAAAAAGAAAATCTACGTTGCTTTTTCCTCTGTCCTTAAACTTAGTATTTTCGTTTAAAAAATAAATAAATATTTTTCTGAAGCATTGTTATGCCTCAGGGGAAGTTAGAAGAAGATTTGATGTTCTACAATAGTATAAAATTAGCAAAATTTAAACAAACTTTCAATAATTTTATAAAATTATTTTTATAAATTTTCAATGTGGCTGTATTTCACGACATTTTTTCAGTTCCCATCCTAGACTTTTACTCGACACTAATCTTTAAAAAAATTAATGAAGGTAATATAATGTGACCGACATTGGTTTATGTTTGTTTATTTTTTAATTTTTTAACGAGGGCTCGCAATAGCAGAGGTCATATAAACCCTCGAGGTGCCGGTGNACTTCCCTTATCCTTAATGAGTGAGCCATCGGTGAAGCAATCTAGACTACGATGGTCATCATCAGACCTATAGTTATAGTCACAGGGAGTAACTACCTGAAAGTACTTTGTCCCTAAAGGTGTTTTCACCTTTTTATCGCTTACACCCAGTAGTTGGTTGTTGACCTTACTCAATAAATGTAAAATTTTCGAGTGTCCTATATTATTTCCCTTATGGTTCCAGCTGCCTTCACTAATTAATCTATAGCAGCTGGTTAGTGCTTTAACCTTGACCTCAATGTGTAGAGGTGTAGTGTTTGTACAGGCATGGCATACCAGAATATTCCGAAACGATCAAATCACAGTTTCATCACCAAGCAAACCTCAAGAAGTATAATTTCTGACAGTGTAGTGGCAATTAAAACGTCATCGTGTCAATGCCTCCCCCTGCTTATACTCCTGACAATGATAATATCAAACTTTGCCTCTTTAAACGATTCAGTTATTATTCCATATTTTGACACCAGGGTTCATCTTTAAAATAATACAAACATTGTCGAATCAAAGAATACCTTAGTTCAACTAATTTATTTCTTATTTCAATCAAGTGACCGCACTAACCATACCAACTTGTGCGATAGAAAACAGCGGTTCGAACTTCCTGGCCGTAGGTAACCACCCAGACGAGAAAATAAATTGAAAACGGTTCCCTTCTTGTGTGATAAATCTGCTAAGTCTCGTCGAAGGTCTTGCGGACACACCCGCCAAATAAAACAAAAAGGATTCGCGAGATATCTTTTCAATTAATAAGACAGCAAGGGCGTCCTGACAGGTTTGAGTCCTTGACACTGCCAACTTGGTTTCAAGAGTTGCAAAAACCCTAGTCTGCACATTCATGTACATTTTTATAGTTAGAGAAAGTTCCTTTTTTTTTAAAACAAATTATCTGATTTTGGCCATACTGTATTGTTTTAATAATTCAATATAAAAAAATCAAAAGTTTCTTCTTTGGAGACGATTTTTCCCAATTTTATCGCATAAAAATATAATCCAGTTATTTACATTCGACTGATATGCAATGTATTTTTTAATTGTTTTCTTTTCCCTCTCCGATAGTGTTTTGCATAAATAGCTTTTCCTTACAATAAAATTAAAGCGTTTTGTTTCATGAAAAAAAAAGGATTGAATACCTCTAATTATTCATCCCTCGGGTCTCACAAGGGTATAACTTCGTAAAGATAAAATACATTCTTTTTCCCCACAAAACACCATTTGCATTTTAATGTGAAAATATTCCACAAGATTGCAAAAAAATTCAATTTACAAGTGGGGATGATCAAAATGAAATCTTGTTTATTTAGGTCACCGCAAGAAAATTGGGGTACAAGTGAGCACTTTTATGTTACAATATAGTCAATGATGTTGAAAAAATTGATTACATTTTCAATTAAATTTTAAAACGTTTATTTACATGTTTTATTAATGCGTAGTAACTACTTAAAAATGTATATTTCAATTAATTGTCACATGATTGTCTTCTGAATATTTACTGTTTTTGGTCCGTCTTATCTCGCTATTCATGGACAAATTTAACCTAATGCCACGTCAATTTTTTAATATCTGTCATTAATTTATTCACTTAAAAGTCCGATTCGACGCTCTAAGAACTTGGTAATAATTGGTTAATAATCCAGGATGCATTTATTGTTTTTTATGATGAACTTCATTTGAAAGAAAAAAATGAAATAAACTAATAAATATTATTTTTTTCATTGCAAATTCTTAGCATTTGTTTTACTAAATCGGCTTGTTTTGATAGTTGTTACGGTCCGCATAAACCCGCTATTCATCGACATTGTGAAAAGAAATTAAGTTTTAACATAAAAACTTCAAATTTTGTCTTTATAGATTATTTTAGCCTGCTTGTTCTCGGTGTTTTTATCCGACAAGCGTTTGTGTTTTTACTTTCTTCAATAGCGGTCAGGGTTGGAAGTAGGGTGAGGTGACACACTACTTCGGAACATGGCAGACCAGAATGTTTGGAAACGATCAAATCACAGTTTCAACACCCAGCAAACCTCAAGAAGAAATGCTTGTGTAATTTCTGGCATTGTAGAGACAATTTGAAAAAAAAAAGTATAAACCCGCGAATAAAAAAATGAGGAAATGCCGAAACGCGTCTGTCAGACGAAAAACAGCGAGGATATGCCATCAAAAAGATCGAATAAGCAATGAAAAAATTGATCTCATGATCATCGGTTAAAGAGTTGCACTAGATTTTGGAAAAAGATTTCAGGGATAAATAAAACAGCAAATAAATATTTGTACTACTTGTGTTGAAATAGAACTTTAAAAAAAATCGCGTTATACTTGTATTTGTTAGGGTCCGTCTAATCACGCTATTCGTCCGTATATGTGACGACGCAGATTGACATGAATTCCGGCAATTTTTTTTTTGTTAAAACTTTTATTCAACAATTTTAGAAGATGCACGATTAAAAAATTAATTATTCGTTTACAGTTTTGAAAGATAAACATCATTAACAAAATGATGCTATCATGAAGAAAGAATTTATTTTGCAAGTTTTCCATAGATTCATAGTGTTTCTTTGGGGAAGTTGATTTCCTATATATTTCATGGTCCGTCTAACCGCGCTATTCGCCAATATATGTAGGATTCGGTTTTACTCTGCCATCAAGAGAGACAAAAAAACAAATTTTGGGAGTTTTTCAGAGAATTTCTTTTGCAGATAAAAAGGTCATAGTTTTAATTTCATAAACCCTAAGAAAAATCAACCTCCTTTGTATATTTATATTTTGTTTTTATGATCAAACATACTGAGTATAAAAAAAAAATTAAATGACTTTGATGTATTTGTTATGATCCTACTAATAACACTATTCGTCAACATATCTCATAATGATCTGAATCATTACAATTAATTAAGGTTTTTAGTTGAGATAAAAAAGTCAATGGCACGAGCGGGATTCGAACCCACGATCTTTGGCTGGATACGCCGCTTTAATTGAATGAAAAACATTCAAAATTCAAAAAGGAGGGAAAAATCAAAAGGTGGGGTTGAGATGGGAAGTCCGAATGGATCGAGGTCACGATAGCTCAAGTGGTAGAGCAGCGGCGTATCTAGCCGAAGATCGTGGGTTCGAATCCCGCTCGTGCCATTGACTTTTTTATCTCAACTAAAAACCTTAATTAATTGTAATATATTAATTGATCAAGCGGACCAAGAAATTAGTCAATTTAATGATTTAAAATGATGTATACTTCACTATAGCTCTCCGTGGCCATTTCATTTGTCGCCGAGAATCAAATAGATTACACGACATTTGAAAAATGGCAAAAAGGAGGGAAAATTCAAAAGGTGGGGTTGAGATGGGAAGTTGGTGCCCGAGTGGATCGAGGTCACGATAGCTGAAGTGTAGAGCAGCGGCGTATCTAGCAGAAGGTCGTGGGTTCTAATCCCGCTCGTGCCATTGACTTTTTTATCTCAACTAAAAACCTTAATTAATTGTAATATATTAATTGGTCAAGCGGACCACGAAATTAGTGAATTTAATGATCTGAATTATATTAATTTTTTTAATTAAAAACTTTTTCTACAAATAATTAATCCATGATGCGATTACTTCTTTGATAAATAAAAATCATAAAAAAATAAAAATTTACGATATGGCTAATAATTAACCGGGTTTTTCCAAAAATAGGCATCTGCTTTCATGCCAAAAGAACGGCTAATAGAGCTTTTTTGTTTTTCTTTGTTTTTGTTGTTAAGAATTAGCGTTGGCCGTTGAAGGAACGGTCAGACATATATGGTGAGATATTTGTAGAGATCTAACCCAATTGCGGAATAATTTTCCTTTTGATAACGAAATATCGATAAAAGATTTCGATTATTCATCTTGTGGTTTTGTGGAGTTTTTCTTTTTCCTGAAGAACAAAATGTCATTATCTTAATTTTTACAAACTTTAAGCATACACGCTTTCATAAACGCAACCGTATGAGCTTTTTCAACGATATTTACTCATTTCATTTATAAAAAACATACGATTATGTTATCACATCTGCCTACAAAAATCATATCTGTCAAAGAAAATCTTCACAGTAATTTCTTATATTATTTAATGAATTTTATTTAAAAAATGCTTTAGATAAACGAAGAACCATACAGACCAAAATTGCTTTAGTGCTGACTTAAATAACTCTGCTAACAAGGTAAAAATTAATTTTCTTCTAAAGATTTTGCGCGTATTAGTTCCAAAATCTAAATAATATTTAATCGAAGCCTGTTTATTACGTTTCTTTTTATTACGTTTATATGTTATTAAGTTTTTGAACTCATTTCTTTATCTTTTTTGGGATGTTCCATAGATTCATTTGAAAGTTTGTAACTTATATGTTCTATGTGGAGATTATAGGAATAGGTTATCAGTAGTCAAAGTTTAGAGAGCAGTGGAAATTTATTTAGGTATGAAGCCGAAAATTACAATTGGGAGAAGGGAAGAGTGGTTCAATAGAAGTGGTGTCCAAGGTATCCAGCGTATGGGTAAGCATTGTATCCGTGGGCGAATCCGGTGTAAGCAGTGGGCACGTAAGCGCTTCCGTAAAGTCCGCCGTATCCCAATCCGGTATATCCGTAGACGTCCTTCTTGATTTTATCTTCGGCGGCGAAGACGCAGGCTATGGCCAAAGCCACGAAAAGCTAAGAAAAATCAAATCATTGGAGTTTGCGAATGAATGGACTAGACTGATTCTATTCTAAGTCCATTCTTGCTGGTTTCGTTTATAACTTACGTTTGAAACTTAAACCAGCAAGAATATACGGACTCGTTAACTTGATCAGAGCCAGTACAGAAAAAAAAATCAAGTTGTTATTTTAATAAAAAGAGACTTACCAAGATTTTGAAAGATTGCATGTTGAATGTGCTAGTTGTACCTGTTTGATATAACTGACGAATATCCCAAGTAGCGTTCCTCTTTTATACTCACGAGAAACGCACCTACCGCCAAAAAAAAAAAAAAAGTCTTTGACAACAAGGAACCTGTATTAAATCAGAAGGCAAACGACTTGTTTTGTAATGCAATATGGCCACTAAAAATATACCAGGAGGGTTGGGTTGATCGGCAATTACTGTTTTCCACGTTTTTTCCGTTTTTCTAAATGTTTTCTCTCGACATGAAATAATTTTGATTCTTTGCAAATGAATGTTATTTTATTACATTTTCCCTTATTTAAAAAAAATATACATTTTTTATATCAATATATGGGCTTTCGGCATTGATATAAACGTCGGAATTATTTAATTCATAATTCAATAAAACAAATATGAAGCTGGAGCACCAACAACATTTCTTAAACTTCATTTTAAACCATATCTCACCTCAGTTTATTAAGCTATTTAAGTTTAATAATAAACGATAATTTTTTAGTAAGAAACAGTTAAAAAGTTTGTAATATTTTATACATTTTAATATTTTATTTAAATAAACGCAAAAGATTATTTTAATTAAACAGAATGTCCCAAGGGAAAATGTAATACTTCAGATGGTTATCGTACAAGTCAAATTGGATTAAAAAGTCCCCATTGTCAAAAATCTGATTCTCAATTTTATTCGGGATACTTCACTTTTCAGGCTACCTCAATCATTCCTACTTTATTCCATAAAGTCACAAAATGATAATTCAACTAATTTGATTATACCTATAGATAGAGCGTCGAAAATCCTATGAGATTTTTTCATTGTAACCTTAACCAAACAATATAGAAATTCACATCGAATATAAACTTCTGTGAATTTATAAGGTTCTTGTCTAAAATGTGCGTAAGATTTTCTTGTAAATACTGCCAGATTTGACTATTAGAGAAAACATGTCTCTATAAATTACCTATGAACACTCTTAATTTTTTAGAAACCAATTGTATTTTTACCCTTTACACAACAGTACTTATTACACATGTGATAACAACACGTTTTGTCTCAAGGTCACAGCACTAACACTAATTCCCGCGCTGCAGCCGGAGGGCACATGCCAATCTGACACTCAGTGTGAGGGATTAAAGGGCAAAGAGGTCTGGAGGCCATCGTTAATTAAGGCGACGTGGAGGATTCTCGGGATGGGAATGTGTACAGAGGGGTCTTGATGTAGGGTTAGGATGGATCGAGAGGTTGGGTTGAAACTTTTGGTTCATCGACAAAAGTATTGTTGAGGTCGTTGGAGATAGTGTGATTAGTGACGTAGTGAGAAGCTTTGACGGTTTGTCTGAGGATTTTTGATTGGAAGCATTCGATCCGCTGGATGTTGGATGGCTTGAAGCCGACAGTACCACTCCATTTGTACAAAATGGTCGCAGTAAGGTCTTGTACAAGATTTGTTTAGTGATGACCGTCAAGACGGATTTAAGTCCTACAAATCTTCTTTTAAGTTGTCGTCTCTTAACTCATGTTGGATTCTACGTCAGTCTGCTGTCTAGGTATTGTCCTAAGTTTTTGACTTGAATGGAAATCGGAATTTTGTTGTTGTCGATGTACAGTGGAGGCAAGACTGTTCTTTCAATGTGAACATCACTGAGTACATTTTTTCGGATCGCTCAAGGATAGATGGTGAGGATAGTATTAGGGTGTAAAGATAAGTCAGAAGAATAAATTAAATAAAGAATGGGGCCAAGAATGCTCCCTCGTCGGACGCCGGCTTTTATCCGTCTGCCTTCCCAGATGCCATTGCCGACTTAATACCTCAAGGTCAATTATCACTAATATATAGTTAACATTTAATAGCGAAAAGAATTATTATTTTTGTTGCTGTTATTACAATTGGGTAAAAAATAGTCTGAGATTGTTGAACTCCCATTAAAAAATATTGATAGCAATAAAAAGTAAACAAACAGACTTTTTGGAACACAATTGAATATAATTATTTAAAAAATTAAATATAATGTTCAAAATATCCACTAATCATAAAGAATATAAGGCTGACATCGTTTTCTGGCAGAATTTGCTGCTTTCAAGATTTTTTTTCACAAGTACAATTTTGTATCAAAAAGTCTTTTTTTTTACTTATATTACATTGATTGATTTTTAATAGACATTACAAAATTTTAGTGACTAACTTTTCTATAAGCGCCATATTTTTACAGAATTAAGAAAATTTTGTTTAAATTTTAAGAAAGAACTTTGAAAAAAGTGTTTATGTTCCAGGTAATTTTATATTTTGTTTACTTAACCTTACAATAAAAACCGAATAAATCTCAAAAGGTTTTCAATGCAGTTTCCATTGGTGTAATCCAATTTAAATTAGGATTGACATTTTATGAGAGTTTATGGAATAAATTTGTTTAAGGTTTAAGTAACATAAAAAGTGAAATATCTAGAATTTAAATGAAAATTTCGACGATGTTTTGGTCCAATTTGACTCTAGGATAGCCTTATGAAGTAATAACGTCTGTTCATGGGACACCCTGTAATTATAAGCACAACATGTTTATAAAGTGGAAGGTTTATGGGCCGACAAACAGCTGAGGTCATCGCCGGCCCTCCGCGTGTATTCCTTCTCTTTCCTGTCTTTCTCGCGTATTTTGTATTGAACTGCATCCATTTGAGCATCTCGATCTGGTTACTGACTCTCTGCTTTTACTTGTGTATTACGTAGTTATTTTAAAAAGCTAGCCTCTTGTTAGTACCTCAGGTTGTCAATTTAAGAATAGATACACAACATACAATACATAACATATATATCGCCACAAACATAGAAGTCTGGTCACATTCACTCCCCAGAGTACTCGATATTCCTCGGGGCGGAGTTGAACCCATTCCATTTGCGCTAATAACTTACTTTTACTCTCCAGACGTCTCACATTCACCCCAGAGTACTCAATATTCCTCGGGGCGGGGTAAATAACCCCTTCCTTTCACGCAAATAAATTACATTCATCCTAATGTATTAACATCAACACCACACAAACACTTCAGACACAACACAAGCACAGCACAAACACACATAAACTATATACATTTGAAGATCCCTATAGCCCGAGGTACCTGTTGGGTATTGAGCGACCTGGCCCGATTGTGGGAGGTAATCTTTTTCCCAAATGTGTTGCCAGGTCTATTTTACGACACTTTGCCACTCAAATCACTCACCTGATTAGATCTAGAGCTTCTGTATATTAAAATCCTAAAAATAGCGTTAATAGACAATAACATGCAAAATAAAATGTTATCTATAGAAATAACAAATATATTATAAGAAAAGGTTACGGAAAAGGTAAACAAAGTTAGTTTCTTATTGTAATAATAATACAATCAAATAAAATATAGTATTAGTTTTAAATTAAAAAATTAATTAAACAGAGAAATAACGGAAGAGCTCTTCAATGAATTTAGAAAAGAAAGAAAAAAAAACAAGTTAGAATGAAGATACAAAAAAAAAAATATATATATATTTAAATTAAACTGAAAGTTCACTTGTGAGTACGCTTGATGTATAGATGTGATACGCTGCGGTTGTGCGGTAAAGACTGATGAAGTCGGGTCCACTTATGCGGCGGTACGGGAAGATGTCAGGCGTGCGGTCGTTGTGAATCAAGACATAGAACACAACTGATTGTAGTGCGGCGGACGAATAATAATAATAACGCCCGTATTGTCGAACAGAACAGAACGTTGAACTATCGATTCACAATACAAATAACTTATACAAAATTACTGCCTGAAACATCTAAATTTAAGAAACAGAGCGTATGCTGTCTTCTTGGCGAGTGAGACGCGACTGGTCCAGTTGACTGGACTTGACAAAAAAAAAGAAGGGGCGTTTCCATGGTAATGTAAAATACAAAACAATTCACCGTAGCAACGGCGACGTGTAAACACTGGTGCTCATGGCAACCGAAAGCATAACATTTGGTTCCTATAGCAACGGGAGGCGTAAACATTCGTTCCCGTGGCAACGAGACCAAACAAACTAACTTAAATTAAAACAAAAATAAAATTTAAATTCAGGCGTAAACAGTACCGGTACAGCGATTTGTGCCCGGTGCCGTGCCCCAAGACTACGCACAGGTCCGATGATATTCCAAAATATTGCCTACGTCGAGCCTTCTACAATTGAAAAGGTGCTCGACTGTTACTCTATTTGCATAAAGGGCACCTTTGCGGTCGCTTTCCTGCTAGAAGGTCCCCGTGTGTAATCCTTGTATGACCTATGCGTAGTCTTGTCAGTATGACCTTTTCCCTTTTTGACCCATTTTCCGTGAACCAGGGACCGACGTCTTTCTTAACCTGCCACAGTTTGACAGAATTATTCCTATTTTGCCGAGCCCAGCGGTTTTTTCAATCTTCTTTTATTGTATTTGAAATGAATAACTTGAGATCCGCTGGGCGTATTTGTTGGGAAGCGTCATGGGGTCCTCTGGCTGCTTCTTTGGCCGCCCTGTCTGCTGCTTCGTTCCCGGCTGTCGCTATGTGGCCGGGAACCCACACCAATACACCTTCTTCCCAATTGTGTCGATCCTTTTTAATTGTTGTTTTATTTTGTTTACTAATGGGTCCACGGAGCTTCTTCTCCTGAGCTTCTGGACCGCACTGAGCGAGTCGGTATATACTACATATGATTCGTGAGGCTGACTTTTTATTATGCTCAGTGAGAGGGATATGGCATTTAGTTCCGCCGTGTACACGCTCGCGGCGGGAGGGAGTGACAATTTTTTTGTTTCTCCCTCCGTGTACACGCCCTCTGCCGTTTTTGACCCGTCTGTGAAGACGGGTCTGGCATCTCTATATTCGTTTTTCAGGGCTTCAAAAATTCCTTAATTCCAAATAAGCACAACAAAAATCAAATCTGGGAAATATCCTATTTTCTGCACATTAGATCATAAATTTTGTGCAATTTTAAAATAAATTTAGTTTAAAATATAAATATAGTCGAGGTTGATCGGTTAAAATGCACATTAGCATAGTGAGCACTATACAGGGCGATTCACGAAGTTTCTAAC